TGTGGCTTATACTACAAGGATGACTTAATTATAATTAGTGATCACACCCAGTGTGGCTGCACATCAAAAATGGCAAATTAATTCACACTTATATGGGCTGGGGATTTAGCTCAGTTGTGCCGCACCTGCCTTGCAAGCGCAAGGTCCTTAGTTTGATCCCTGGTACTGGAAAAAACCAAAACCAAAACAAAAACATATTGTGACCAACATACACTTATGTTTTAGGATAAAATAATCAGTAAGGCTATATACATCATTTTAAAAAATCATTCTTTGCTTTAGCTGAATTTTTTGCCAAATGACCACTGGTACCAATCATGTGAGAGATCACTGAATTTATCAGCTTAGCAGACTTTAAAAAGGAAAATTCTAGCATTTTCCCAGTATTTCTTGGTGTTTCCAGTAGCCATATCAACATAAACAACAAAGTCAAAAGGAACGGGAAAAGTTTTGACTGTTCATAGGAACACATGACATATCAAAAACTCCAATATTTGCATCTTAATAGTTGAAAGGGAGGCAACAGAGAGTTGGGTGGGAATACAGAACTTTGAGGTCAGATTGTCAATACCGGAATTCCAACTCTAACAGTTACTAATTGTGTCCACAAGCAGGTTACTCTCTTTTAAGCCTCAATCACTTCATTTGTGAAATCTGGGAAGCATTACCAACTGTCTAATGATACCTTATCACTATTCATTCTGATAAAAAGAAAAGTTAGAAAAGAAGCCTTACTAATTCTACCACATAGCTTTAAAATTCAACTGAAAATATTTTCTCTCAACTATTCTAGTTGGCGTTTGCGAGTACAGCGCCATCTGTTGTTCAGTCTTGTGAACTGCAACATATTTGTATGCAAGCTTGCCTATCCGGTTTCTTTAAAAATTAATTTTATTGATACATTTTAGGTATACAATGTAATGACATTCACCATTGGAGATTTGTACCTTTACATAATCTCTCTTGATTCTTATTTTTTCCCCATTCCCCTGCCCTCCCTTCAACCCCTCCACCCCTCTCTATTTAGAAAATCTTTGTTTCCATTGTTTCATTTTCTCATGTTAATTCCATTCCCTTCTTTTCTTTCCTCCACCCCTCTTGTTTCCCCTTCCCCTTTGCACCTTTTCTTCTTATCCTGTCCTTTTGAAAAAGGTTTTCTACCATGAAATTGATATTTTCTTTAACATACTGAGAATGTCTGTAGAAAAGAAAACAAATTTGCAGATGAAGATGTTATTTAATTAGGATGGCAATCGACACTCCTGTTATTTTCAATTCTCTACATTTTCTGCACATACTTCCTTTTAGCTACTAGAAATATCAAGAAAAAAAAGCCCTAAATGTTCATAGGAAGCCTCTGTGATTACAAAGAAGAGAAAGATAACCAGGCCATGATCACAAATCTTACTTTTCCTATCCTCAACAATGACTGGTTTCACATTAAGTTAGCCAACTAATGACCTTGTTCCTCTTTTGTTATTACAGTTCTTTTAAAAACAAGAAGACATATTTGAGGTGAACTTGTGTGTTTTAATTACATAAGAAAGGAAGAAAGCTAGCATTATATTTACAGAGAGATTTACTTGTAATTCTCCTTTCTTTCAGCCCCTAGAGGCTGTACTTACATGAATGACATTGAATATGCATCTGTTTGTGAAGGGGTAGATAGTGGGGTGGAGTATGGATGTTTATACAACACTGTGGGTTATTATTATTATTATTTTTTTGGAGACAGGGTCTTGCTATGTAGTTCAGGGTGGCCTTGAACTTAGTATGTATCCCAAGCTGACTCCAAATTCTGTGATCCTCTTGCCTCAGCCTCCTAAGTGCTGAGATCACAGGTGCGCACCCCTATGTCTGGCCAATATTGGGTTTTTCATACTTCAAAGGCTTCAAAATTACTTCAGGTGATGAAATTATTGTAAAAATAATTTAGCAGTAAAGAGCGGTGAGCCAGCACTCATTTTTTCCCCTATGCATATTCAGGTTTACATACAAAGGCAGATGTACTGCTATAGTCATATTCTAAGAAGGAAATTCTGAAAAATTTGAGCTGTGTGTATTATCTGCATATGTGACATGAATGTCAAACCAGAAACTTAAATAAATACTGAGATCAGTTCTACAGTATAACACTTCAAAATGTGTAATCATGGAAAACAAACACAGCTGAACAAGTGTTAGGGTTGAATTTTACCATCTTATTTCTATATCAAAACTCTCCCACGTGTTCAAATTTCTCTTGATGGCCATGTGATTGATATATCTATATCTATAGATATACAGATATATCCCAAGCCCGGAACAAACATGATAAATAGGTCTCAACATGTTTTTCTCTGAAGTTAGTAGCTCTCAAAGGGTAGAAATTTGACTCAGCTAGAAGCCTACAGATGAGCAGTTATCTTTACTACCGAAGGCTGTCCACGGCCATGGCACCTTCTGGCAGCTGTCAAGGAGCTTTAAGGCCTCACTCAGATTCTGCTATCATCTTTCTTCTGCTTTCAGTGATCAGGTGTTGGTGACAATCACCTCAGGAGCTTTATGACACTGTGTGCCTTGGTGCCAGAGCCATGCTAGAGCAGGGACAAAGGCTATGGAGTCCTTTCTAAAAAGCCCATATTAGTGAGCCTGATAAGCTTGGCTATGCCTGCTCCCTGCTCCAATCCCCTTCTGAGACCTGACCACAGCAGGAGGCCAGGGGTCCAGTCAGGATGTGCTTTGTCTACACTTGATTCATTTCCCTTCCAGCCAGTTAGTTCATACACACACACACACACACACACACACACACACACACACACACACTATTCCTACTCAGAACCCAGCCCCAGGCATGTTTCTCATAGAGGCTCAGTCAACTACTCCAGGAAAAGTTACTCCTGTCTTTATCCAGTTACGAATTAAAAGTTACAACCCAGCCAAGATGGAGTCACCACAGAGTAGTGTCACTGTACACATCCAAACCAGGAAGAGGGAAAGTTGTGAGACAAACGGCAACCAGAAAGTCAAAGACATATTAACTCCTCAGTCCTTGAAAACACTCACTAATTTGCTTCAACCTGAGAAAAAGTCTTTCCTCAACTCTTACTCAAATCTAGTTTTTCAGGTTTTTGAAAAATGTTAGTGAAACGTTCTTTATTTTGATTTTGATTATCACTACTGTGAGAGGTTACTGTTTCTCATTAATAATTAAAGTTTTAACCACTCTGTGCATTGAATATCTTCTGTGGGTTGGCCTAAATACCACAGACATTTTTCTCCACCACAGAAAACTGTTTTGAGTTAAAAATATCCAATAGGGCTGGGGACACGGCTCAGTGAAAAGGCACCTGTCCAGCATGCATGTGGCCTTGGGTTTGATCCCCGTACCACACACGCACAAAATCAATGAACAGAACACCACAGCAAAACACCCCACTTGCAAACCAGTGTTCGGACCCTCTCATAGCATAGCAGCAATCACACAAATCACACTCACCATTTCTTCAGCAGTAGACGCAGATCCTGTAAGAGCTGAGGCAGGAACGCGAGTGCCAACAGAGGGCGCAGACACAGCCCCGGCAGATGTCAAGGAAGCTAAAGCAGCAGAGGGCACATAGGTGGCACTGGGGACTCCAACCGCCCCTATGGGTGGGGATGGCAGCAGCTGTCCGGGCAGCACCGAGGGCACTGGGGCCACCGAAGGGTCCAAGTGGGCAGAGTGCTCTCTTCCCTGAACACCAGCACCATACTCTTCCTTTTTATTATTTGTGAAATTGGTCCCTATAAATCACAAATTCAGTTCATTAAAATTCTCCCCAGTTAAGATTATTGTTCTCCTCCAATAAAAACATACAATGGTTAAAATTTGATCCTAACAAAAATGTAGATATTTCACTGGAGTCCACTATTTTTTCAGCTAATGCAGTTTCTCATACTAATCAGTTAATGTCACCATTAACCACCAAAGACTGCAGACCACTTACTTCCACATGGGAAAGTGATGACTTGACTGGTCTTTAATAAAAGATTAAAAATAAGCTGGAAGGCTGGGGATTTAGCTCAGTGGTTCTGCATCCTGCCTCACAAGCACAAGACCCTGAGTTCGATCCCCGGTACCATTAAAAAAAAAACCAAAACGCTGGGTGTGGTGGTGCAGGCCTGTAATTCCAGCATGCTGGGAGGCTGAGGCAGGAGGATTGCTGTGAGTTAGAGGCCAGACTGGGCTACATAGTGAGTTTGAGGCCAGCCTGAATTACACAGGGAGATGGGGTCTCAAAAAACAAAAAACAAACAAATAAAAATGACATGTTCATCTGGAACCTCAGTTAAATGTACTGCCATCTTACTATTAGTGATACATATGTCATACAAAGCCTAAGGATCTATATGTCCTTTTGCACTCATACAACTATCCTGATACATGGTCATGTATTTAAATCTTCACAACTACGTTCTGGAATCATTGTACCCCCCTCTTATTTCCACCTATTGCTATTAGCCTAGCAAAAATAGTGTATTTTTATTCTTGACTCTTTTAGCAAATAGCAATAAATCAAGGTATTGTAGCCATCATTACTTTTGACAATGTAAAAGAAATGGTTCTTTTAAAAATTTTTTGAACTGGGGTTTCACTCTGTTGCCCAGGCTGGTTTAGCACTGCTGGGTCATATGAGCCTCCTGCTTTAGCCTCCCAAGTAGCTGAGACTACAGGAATGCACCACTGTGCCAAGCAAGAAATGTGTTCTTGGGTGGGGATGTAGCTTCATGGTACAGCACACATGAGGCATCAGTTTTTTGTTTGTTTGTTTGTTTTAAGAGTAGGAAAGGGGAATAGGAATAGCTCCGGAGAGACAGAAGGGGTCCTGAATGAGTGGCCAATGAGGCCCTTTGTCAGAGGTAATTTATACAGCAAAGTCACAAATGTGTGTATAAGGTGGGTCAAACTATAATCAACCTATAGGATTACAAGTACACCTGCTTAGCTAATATTAATCCAGTAGAGAAGCAGAGCATATAGCAAGGGTATATGGCTGGCATCATTAACCTTGGCTTATGTATGACTTCTAAACAGTAATACTTTGGGAAGGGATGGGTCTAGGTGCTCCGGTCACCCACCTAGGAGTCTGATGCTTATCTGCACTTAATGGACTAGGTAGTACTAATTACAGTATAGCCTCAAGTTCTGCTTATCCCTTAGGGAAGTATAAGCCAGAAGCCTCAGGTTCAAGGCCCAGCACCCTCTAACCCTGAAAAGGTTCTTTCAGTTAGACTATGTAAATCATGTGCACACCTGCACATTTAACTGATCATAGAGACCTCTCATATAGAATCTCTCTGTCACAACTGAAGCTTAACCTTGATTTAAGGAGTGAATGGAGTCTGGTGTGGTGGTGCATGCCTGTAGAGATGCTGAGGTAGGAGGGATTGCAAGTTTGAGTCCAGACTGGGCAATGTAGCAAGACTTTGTCTCAAAATAAAACATATAAAAGGGCTGGGGATATAGCTGAGCATGAAGGCCCTGGGTTCAATCCCTACAGCAACAGCCCCCACTTCCCCACACACAAAAGAGTAAATGGTATCAGCTTCCAAAAGCAAGGATAAAGGAGTTCTTCCATTTTAGATTCATTTCTCCCTCAGCATTAGAATGCAGTCAATTTCCACTTAAGACCACATCTTTGTGGTACGAAACAGCAGTATGAGGGTTTGCAAATTCAACGAGATGTTTCAGAATTCTGAATGGAAGACATTATGTAGGTCCTATAAGTAAATGTCGTCTTTTCATCCAGAAAGTTGGGCTTATGTATCAGTCATTTTCTTAAACTATCTGTGTATAAAAGAATCATAGTTGCTTTGCTAACAAAGTTTGGTGATGGTTACAGTGCCTAGATCCTTTTAAACCCTCTGATGAAAGGGACTGATTCAATATAAGACAGCACTGGTTTTTGTTTTTCGTTTTTTTGCTTAGATTCTTTTATTGGTACATTTTAGGTACACAATACGTTTACATTTATCGTTGGGTGCCTGTACCTGTACATGATGTATCTTTTTTTTTTTGGTACTGGGGATCGAACTCAGGTCCTTGCACTTGTGCAGCAGGCGCCAAAAGCACTGAGCTAAATCCCCGGCCTACATGATGTATCTTGTTTCTTATTTTTTCCCCATTACCTGTGCGCCCTTCACCCCCTCCATCCTTCACCCCCTCCACCCTTCTCTATTTACAAAGACTTTGTTTCCATTTTATTTTTATTCTCATTATTTTTCCTTTCCCTTCTTTCCTTTCCCCTTCCCCTCCTACTTCCCCTATCCCTTTGGACTTTTTCTTCCTATTTCAAATTACCAATTATTCATTTCAATCCTTATTTACACTTTCAGTTTCTCACACTAGAGAAACTGTTTGGTATTTACACATGTGTGTCCTATTTATTTCACCTAAGAGTATGGCCTCAATATGCATCAATTTAGCTATAAATGTCTCTAGTTTCTCATTCTTTATGGCTGAGTAGTACTCCATTTTATAAAAAAAACCACATCTTCTTTATCCAGTCTTCAGTTGATGGGCACTTGGGCTGTTTCCAAGGTTTAGAAAATAGCACTGTTTTAAATGTGAAAACAATGTGCATGTGCACACACACACGCACACACACGGAGTTTTAACATGTTTTTGATGGAATGTGATACTAAGTGTCTGTCTTTCAGCAGTGGCAGACATTACCAGTACAGAATTGAGGTCAGGTCTGGCCAGGGATAGCCCGGAAGAGAGGCGAGTGACCAACTCTCCTAAGGTGGCTTCACTTATGGGTTTTCTGTTTATGAGATGACAGTTAAGTTTAATAGTAATTATTCCCCCTTTAATGGGGCTGCTTTTTTTCATAGTTGTAATTTTGTTCTGTGCCTAAAATTGCTTGAAAAATTGGCAGGTATCATTTTAAGGTTATTTTTTATCATCAAATTCTGCCTTCTTCATAAAATCTCTAATTTATAATCTGTAAGATTTGAGAGTAACATACAACATGAGATTCCTGGGAGATTATTGACAACAGAGAACTGGGACAAACAAAAAAAAAATTAAAAAGCTATTTAATAGGACAGTTATATTAAAGTACCTTGCATTATTAAAAAGTGCATTATATAAAAAAACAATTGTTTTAATGGGAGAAAGGGGGCCAGAAGTATTTATTTCTTATGAGAATTTAAAAATTAATAATGTTATAATAATTATTGTTATAATTAATAAGATGTTATAAAATCTAAATCCAACAAGCATAGCCAGCATTACATTACAATGAGCTTTCACCTATGGTACCAACATTACTACAGTTTGTACTTTACTATTTTTGTCCTCTTTATCATTCATTGTTATGACAAACAATGCCCCAGATCACTTAAAACAGTTGGGTTCTCAGAGAATGCATTTGGTACATACGAAGGAAGACTTCAGAGAAAGTCTTAAAAGGAATGAAACAAATCATGCTGTGTAACTGTCAGAATATGTTTTCTTTCTAAATATCAGGCCTATTGGTCTGAAAGAGACATATCTGTATTTAAATTTAAATTTTAAGATGGTAAACTTACTAAGGCAGTAAAAAACTAACCTCATTGCCTTCTTAAGTAAGTTGTGAAAAACAGTTTTTTTGTAATTGAATGTGATTAGTTCTAGTGAGGACTAGTCAACCCAATGTCTCTTCCAAATACACAAATCCTTGATTCAGTACTTGTAACCTTCTAATAATTAGAACTGAAACACATTATTTTATCATTGAGGGTGGTGAGTTGGTTTTCAGCACTGATCCTCAAATAAAAGACTATTTACTGGAGAAATCAAGTTCTTATTCAAGTATTAAGAAGCTAAACAATTCAGCCTTGAGTTTCTATGATTACGAGTTTCTAATGCACATATGGGCCGCACACCATGCCTGATTCTCATAGAACAGTGATGGTGAGCCTTTTAGAGCTTTCAGTGATAGCAAACAGCCTGCTGAGGCATGTGTGCCATAGGTTCACCACCATCACAGAAAGATTTGCCCAAACTCACTGTCACCACAACACACGTGAATTAAATATTAAATGTCTGTTGGTGCCATAAAATGGGGGCATGAGAAGCACAGAGAAGTTATTCATAGGATTGAAATCATGTTCAGGATGTTACATAATCAAACTGTCTCAATGACATGTAAGCCAAGTCCAAAGAGGATTTAATGTGAGGGAACACTGCAAAGATGATCATGCATTTGATCTGAAGCTTGGGAGGCTGACTGGAATTAAGACAATAATTACATTTTACCAGCTACGTGTTAAGAGTATATTTTGGTGTTTAAAGTTTTTTTGTGGATTTCACTGTACAAAGAACCCCTCTGAAGCAGGGAAAGAAGGTTTATATTGTCTGGCTTCTCTGGAGAAGGAATCTAAGGCCCCACTGTACATGGGCGGCAAAGCGTTCTGGTCATGTGCTCTTCTAAGCTATTCTGACAAAACCACCACATGAACACTCAGATTCCAGGAGATGTAAGAAGTATAGTTAGTTTCTTTTTTTTTTTTTTTAAGATAGGGTCTTGCTATGTAGTTTGGGCTGTCCTTAAACTTATTATGTAGCCCATGCTGGCCTGGAACTTGCAGGGATCCTCCCATCTCAGCCTCCCAAGTGCTGGGATTACAGGCATGAGCCACCATGACTGGCTGAAATGTAGTTAGTTTTAATAGGACTTTTTTTGGAAAAAAATTATTTTACTGACTTCTATAGATAAGCTTATATTTAGATCTGTTGAAAATGAGTTTAGTTAGGACTCTTTCAAATTAGAAGAAAAGCTCTTTCTAAAATGGGAAACCATGAATAGGCAAGAAATAGTAAACAAAGTAGTTCAAGAAATTTGGCTATTTAGGAAAAAAGCAAAAAATAGAAAGTTCCTATTTAGAGGTATTAAAATTACTAGTTAAAAGAACTGTAAAATAATGTTCTACATTAAAAGTATTACTTTAACCTTTAGCTTAAGAACTGACAGTGTACTTGATCTGATTTAAGGTAACATAAGTAACTATGACTGAGCTAAGTTTCACAGTAAAACTGAAAATGACATCAGGAAGCTAAACAGCACCCACATGAGATATATCCACTGCAGATTAGTACTGTAGACCATACTAATCACTACAATTGTCTTAAATTCTTTTTTGAAAATACCAGAGAATCAATACTAACCTGCATCATTTCTGTTCTGAAATATAGTCATGGCTTCTAGATTTAATGCACATACCCCCCTCATGAACGCTTTCTTCATGGAATCTTCAAAGTGTTCTTTCTCTTGTTGCATTTTCTGAATCTCGGCTTTTGCATTTTCCAAAGCTCCAGATAACTAAAATAATTTGAAAAAAAGAAAAATATCTGAGACACAAGAGTATTACTGTTAAAAATATAAACACACTGTGAGGTTATTCTTATATAAAATACTAAAAACAGTTTGCTATATACCTCTTGTGCTATGTAACTCAATTTAGTTGCATTTTATACCGACTGTCTTCATCAACAAACTATTTTCATCCCTAACCATAAAGTCAAGGTTCAAATAAGTTGAATTTTATACCAGTTTCGCTGAACATTGTCAGTGTATTTTCTCTATATAAAAATATGTCATTTTTACCATAAAACTTTTATGTAGGATATTAAACAAAATAATTTATTTAATGAGCCACAGATACCCTGATTCCTTGTGGAAAAAAACAAAACAAAAACAAAACCCTAAATGCAACATGTACAGAAGTTTAAGAAAGTGAATGTTACCTACAGAATTTAAAGTGCAGAGTGGATTTAGGGTATAGCCCATTTTCCCCCTGGACCAAACATACAGGGACTACATTTTTGCAGGCATCGGAACCACTGAGCTAAATCCCCGGCCCTGAAATTTATTTTTAATATTAAGAATTTAGTGCCATAATGGTAAATTTTCCTTATAATATTTATTTCATGAAGTCTACTACATTTTTCAGATTGTTCTAATTTCATTTTAGGTCCTAAATATTTTCCCATGTAAACAGTATTAATTTTATTAAAAAGTCAAAGGAAAATAATTTCAATGTATGTGCATCTGCTTTATACTAACTTTTTTTTTCTTTTTGAGACAGGGTCTCCCTATGTAGTTCAGGGGCTGGCCTCAAACTTGCAGCAATCCTCCTGCCTCTGCCTCCCAGGTGCTGGGATTACTGGCATTCACCACCATGCCTGGCTATACCAACCTTATAAGAATACAATTTAAATATGAGGATAAAATCTTTAAAAAAAATTTTTTTTGGCTATATAGAGTAAAAAGAGAAACCTAACTATAAATTAATAATGAATCCACTCATCTTTCTGATTGCATTAAAAGAAAGTGAAATATAAGAGGTTACCATAGCAACTTTGGTCTCATAATCATTGGAAATCTGGATGCAAACTTCTTCAGCTCTTGCTTGACAAGCTCGCTCTACCACTTCTTTCCACTGTCTTTGTATGAGAGAATGCCAGCCCTTCCAGACTTTCTTCAGTAATGTTCTCTGGAAGTACTGATCAGCTAGTTTACCTTCATAAACCTAAACAAAAGGAACATACAACCTCAAAACCACAGTGGACTGGTGGATGTACTGGTGGTAATAGCAGACATGCACAGTGGTAAGTGTATACACAGGATCATTCAACCCTAGTCAACCATACTGTTCTCAAACTGCACCTGGGAGGACAGGCTTACTGGGTAGGAAACAGGCCTTGGTCACATGTGGGGGATGGGAAAAGCCAGACCTGCCTCACCCCTCCAACATAGCTTAATGCAGCTAATCTGGTTTGGGGAAAAACATAAACCCAAATCAAAGAAAATGAGAAACTTGCCAATTTAGCTATGAATTTGCATGACCTTTTAAATAAATATTTGTTCTTGATATGGCTCACTTGACAAATAACTTTCAAAGCATGGCACACTCATTTTAAACAACTTGTTTCAACATAATGAAGGTAGAGCTCAGCCATTGGGATTAATTAAAACACAAAAGCACTAGGAAATACTCATGCTAGTTAACCTGGAATGTCAATGTGGCTGGATCAAGAGGCTCTGGAAGTTGATTAGATGGTGCACTGAGGCCCTCACAGCTGAATGAAGGCCTGGGTGGAGGTCAAAGATCACTGAAGGTGTAACCTAGTAGAGTGCATTCTCATCATGGCCCCTTCCCCTTGCCTGGCCCCTCCCCTGCTCTCTGTTCCTGGCCGGGGGTGTGTGTGTGTGTGTGTGTGTGTGTGTGTGTGTGTGTGTT